TTGAGTCACATGGAAGTGGAGCAAAAGGATCAAACAGTCAAAAGGCGCATCAGCGCCGGATGCTAGAAAAGGAAAGAAGTTCTCGGTCTCGGCTTCCGGCAGGACCGGCACGTAACATCCGCCCTCCCGAAGTGGAAACCGCTTCGCCCAATATGGTAATCCTCCGCCTCGATCCCACGCCTACGCACCCCTGCGCGAACCCTTCTCCAATTCCCGCTCCCGTCGGCGCTGTTGAGCGCGCATCTGTCCACGAAGAGCTTGCGCGATAGCAAATTGAATGATATCTTCGTCGACCCCTAATGCGCCGAGTGACGAGCCCGACGATCCGGGAACCTTGTGTGATCCTTGGTTTGACCCCGCGTGATCGTCGACCGACTGCTTCTTGATCTTCTTCGTCTGGGTCCCCTCGGCCTTCTCCTGTCCCTCCTTCGCCGACTTCGATCTAGCAGCGCGCTTGGCGGCGTGCCCGCCTAAGACCTCCTGAACTTCCGGCCGGAAGAAGATCGGTCGCATCGGCTCGCCCTCCACCTCAGCCGTTCCCTTATCGTCGAACCCTGATAGTGAAGCGACGCTGGGATCGACAAGCTTCCTGAGCGTCGAGCGGAGGGAGTAGTACCCAATTGGCACCGGCTCGTCGACAGAGGCAAGACCGCCACGGATGCGCTCGTCATAGCGAAGGTAACGCTCGACGTCCTTCCAATGGTACACATCGAACGGGCATCCTATCATCGGGGCAGGTACGTGATCCACGATGAACTCCTTATGGGTGGCGTTGAATTCGACGCCCTTGCAACAGGTAATGATCACCACGTCCTCGCCTTCCGGCGTCGTACCCGGGAGCGGCATTAGGTCGGCATCGGCGGTGGTTGACGCAGCATCCTTAGGCGGCGGTGCATTAACGGTCGGGTCGGGGTCGACTGCGGTTGGCGGCTCTTTACGCTTGGTGGCACCCCGCCTCTTCGCAGGCGGATCCGCGGTCGAGCCAGATGAAGGGGGCATATACGATGGTGAGTGGCGGTTGAGTGGAGATCGGCTTAAGGTTGCAGAGTAGCTAACGGTGCCTATATCACCTATCCGAAGGTCATTATATAGTCGGTGTCCACACCGACCACCGGCATCGTCGACACACAGGGTGATCCCACCGGCGAAGATCTGCGGGTCGTCTCCTTCGATTATTCCACTACCTTCCGGGAGTTCCGCGACACTGCTGACCCCTTGTTCATCCAGGTATAATTTCAAATGCTCGAGGCCGTCAATCTTGTCAAGCGGGAGCCAGGTGACGTCTCCAGCTTTCCACTTGATTTTGAACTACAGATGACGTCCCTTGTCCCTTGTGCGATAGAATGCGATCTACGGCCCATT